TCAAACTTATTCTGAGAATAGGAACCAGATCACTCCATTGGGGCCTATCCTTGATTAGTATTAGTGATTAGTGCGTAAAGGTTTGGAAAAGGTCCTTGAGTTATTTTCTAGGCACAATCGTAGTAAAAGGGTGGCACAATCGGAACCCCATGTCCATTCCTACTGGAATGACATTCCCCCATTTGAGGGTCGGGAATGACCATTTCCTGCCCCTCCCTTGTCCCTTGGGAACTAAATTCCATTCCTGCTAATTCTAATTCCCATTCCTGTCTGAGTCATGGGAATAGACCATTCTGATTCCAATTCCGATTATGGCTGTGACAAACCAAACAAACCCATATGTACAACTAAATTTAATTTTCATTTTGCTTAAATTAATAATGTGGAATATATCTGCTTATATATTAATAATCTTGCCTCTTATTGTCATTTTCACTCTCTTCATAGCCCAGGAGGGCTAGGGAAAGATAAAAGCATGGCATGTGTATCCAGTGTCGTTGTGGAAAGCATTAATGTGCAAAATGCTTTATATGGAGTTAGGATACTCAAATTTTGAAAACTACACATTTGTATTTGTACTGTTTCCATGTGTACTGTACAAATTTATATAAATATAAGATTTTGCATTCTACATATCTATATTTGTACTCTTAAAATGAGCCTTGAGTACAAAACCTGGATGCCACTCTAATTTGATTAAGAATTGTATTTGATATCTCATTTACTTTACATTATCTAACAATTTATATGTTATGATTTGCAGGTTAAACCATTATGTTAAGTGGATTTGCATTGGAAAGATGTGTTACATTATTCAGGAAGATTTTTTTAAATGCCTTATACTTTTTTCTATGTTAATTGGATATTGTATTTAAGCAATTTGTTTCGGAAATTATAATAATTAATAATTAATTTAATTAAAAGTTTTTTATTTTTAAGTTGCATTTTTTATTTAAATTGATTTTTATGTATTATATGCCATGAGATCTGTATTAAACAGGTACCAAAAAAATGTTGAAATCGAATTGATATAAATAATAAAAAATAAAAAAACAAAGTCAGCGGTCATACAACCGTTGCCTTAGACATAAAAAAGACCTAAGACGGCGGTCCAGACTACCACCTAAAAATGGAAGCAACATTTTGATGGACCTAAGGCAGCGGTCCAAAGAGATCTAAGCTAGCGGTCTGGACCACCACCTAAAAACGGAAGCAACATTTTGACTGACCTAAGGTGGCGGTCTAAAGAGATCTAAGCTGGCGGTCTAGACTGCCACCTAAAAATGGAAACAACATTTTGATGGACCAAAGGCGGTGGTCCAAAAAGACCACCACCTTGATTAACTCCGAGCTGATGATTTTGTCTAAGCTGACGGTCTTGACCTAAGCTGGCAATGGTTTAAGGGGCGGACTCATGACCACCGCCTTACCTCTGAGGTAGTGGTCTAAAGGGCTAAGCCGGCAGTCCTACGACCGCCGACTTTGATCGCTTTTCTTGTAGTGTAGTATGATATATATTATGGTGTTCAAATGTATCAATTTAACAAATAAGTAGATTTATTGTCAAATTACAGTTTAAATATATACTTGTCAATTAAAATCGGATTTTTTCGAATCGAACCCCATAGTCTCAATTACAGGCCTTATAAGGTATGATCCGGAGCTGATTGAACAGCTACTTACATGCAGCACAATTTGAAACTACTGAATAGCTTTAATTCCACCTTCTTTGTTATAGGGACCAAAACTTGTCTGCTCATATTTTTTATTATATTGCATGTATCCTACTCCCACCTCAGTGGAGGTCATGCCCTATTCTCTATTATAAATGAATAAAGCTGCTTCTTTTTAGAAAAAAGAAGGGTGTGGTTTGGAACTGGTTGTGCCGGTTGACTTATTGTTTAGGTGTATTTTAGCAATATTAATAGATCTCTTAACATGACTGCTCAAAATCTTGTACAGCTTGTTAAAATTGAGTCTTCGTCTTTTTGGTTTGATATCATATGAGTCCGGATTTCCTACCTACTACAAGTCTGCTCACACTTTAACCACATAACATCGTAATCACACATGGGGAAGGTTGCATATGTATTTTGATAATCTGAAGTGATGTTTCTAATTTACACATATAAAAAAATTAGGATAGTTAATTAAATCATGAAAAAAACTCTGCTGCCAGAAAGACATGATATGGAAGGGATTTGACTAATCAACCCCTTCCCCCTTGAATAGTGATAAAGGACCCATGTGATGTAGATGCTTTGTTGTAAGATATTGAGTTAGGAGTCTTATGCCATTCCGTATTAACTCAAATTAAATCCATCGTAATCATTATTTTTGTGATATTTATTGTTTGATAAAGTTGTATTTAATTTCATTAAATTTTTATTTTTAATAATATTTTGTTGAGGTTGATTATACCGATCTTTTAAAAATCAACCCAAAACCGGAAACCGTTTTGGTCGCCGGTTCTCATGTTAGTGGTTTAACCGTTCAATTTGAATAGACAATTCATTGCAATTTAAAAAATAAAAATAAAATAAAAATGGCCAAAAACCATTTTTTGGGTCGAATAGATTGATGGTTCAATTGTCTAAATCAGTGGGTCATTGACCAAGTCAGCATTTTTGGCAAAGGTGAAATGGAATTGGTTGTTTGGATGATTTTTGGGCTAAACGGTTTGACCGTCCAAGTCAATGATGGTTCAAAAACCATGGATTATACAATATTATGTATTGTATAAAATCTATTTATACAGTACATAATATAAAATATTATATTTAATATATATATTATAGGTGCCATATTATAATATTTATATATATATCCAATATAAAATATTATATCATAAACATTATCTATTGGGAGGTTAGTGTTAGGCTCGGGGAAGGCTAGACAAATCATGGTTTCTGAACCGTCGTTGACCCAATTGGTCGAACCATTCGGCTTAGAAACAATCCAGGCAACCAGTTCCGTTTCACCCTTGAACCATTCCTTTGTCAAAAATCGTTGACTTGGTTAGCAATCATTGACTTGGAAATCAAACCGTCAACCCATTCAACCCGGACAATGGATTTTAGCTGTTTTTTTTATTTTGATTTTTCAAATTGCAATTAGTCATTGTTTTATATCAAATGGTTGAACAACTGACCTAGAAACTGACGACCATAATGGTTTTGGTCTAGGTCGGTTTTTAAAATATTGGGATAAATACCACCCCACCCTATTCTTGGTTACCAAAGTTGGGCTTCCCTGAAACCCACCCTAAACCCGATCGACGGTTAAAAACAACTACTCTAATCGGGGCAGGGCAAGTTGGATCTCTAGTAGGGGTGGGTTAGATTACCATCTTTACTTGGGTTTTCAAATGCACTATAGAAAAATACAATTGAAAATCTGAAGGTATGGTTGGTATGGAATTGAAGGGTTGGGTCAGGTTTGAAAACTATATGTCATTATGTTGGGTTTGAGTAAAAGCATTAGAGGGTCGGGTTGGGGTGAAGGCAAACTCATACTGAACCCGGCTTGTTGTGTTTATTTTTTATTATTTTAAAGTTGAATTTAAATCAATTTTAATGTATTTAGTAAATTGTTATTAATGTGTAATTTAAGTTATGATATCATGCTAAGTTTATTACTGTTTAAAATTTTTAATAATGTTAAAATTTGTTATTATAAATTATATAATATTATTATAATTAATTTTACAATTATTACTATTAAAATTGAAAATTAGTAATTTATTTTGATTTTTCTGTTATGTTAATCATCTTTAAATGGAAATTAAATGAATAATTTTATGAATTACTAAACATTAGTTAACTAATTAATTAATTTTGCAAACTATTATTATTAATTGAGTTTAACATACAACTATACATGTAATGTCAACAAATGAGGCCCATATTGTATGTTATAACCATAAATAATTCAAGTTCTCTCCATCTTTTCCCTAAGATTCTCTTTTATTGATTCAAATGAATAGAAAGTAATTAAGAGAATTTTAGGAGAAAACGTGGGGTCAATTAGAGAGAGAGAAAGAGAAATTTTAGGAAGATTTAAAAGAGGCTTTAGATGAGAGAGATATTTAAAGAAGATTTATAGGTTATTGGAAAGTGGGGACTAATACGATCAAAAAGAGCCTTGCTGATGTATTTCAATGAAAGGGTAGGGAGGGGGTAATGGTTACAAGTTCTTCATTTGTAGGTATTTGAAAAGTGGGTCTAATAGGAGCAAGAAGAGCCTTGCTGAATACTGATTTGTTTCAATTAAGGAGAGAGTAGGAATGGGGCTTGGAAATAGGAGAGGCTATATGACGTGGACCACCTTTCTTTATACATATAGTATAGATACCATTTGATTGGTTACTATCATTGATTTAAACATGTCAATCTCCATTACAAGCAATGATCCAGAATCTCATTCTTGCAAATTTGTCTTATATATAAACAAGGCAGCTTTGCAGTTTTGTCCGCGAGTACAAAGAAAGGTTTGTAAAAAAATAGAGGGGTATCGAGTGACTATCTCAAGTCTCAACCACTGAACAACTACCATTGTCAAAATTGAACTGGATCGGATGGTCGGACTGGAAAAACCTGAAACAGGTCACTTGATTGATTTTGTTTTACTCCAAACTTGTTATTTGGTCAAAAATTGTTGATTTGGTCAATGAACCAATAGCCTAGGCAGATGAACCGTTCAACCCAAGAACAGTTTTGACTGTTTTTTGTTTTTTTTTTTTAATTTTTTTTATTAGAGCAAACCATTCATTCAAACCGGATGGTCAGACTATTTGACCTAAAAACCAGTCTCAAAACGATTCCCTATCTGATCCGATTTTAAAAACCTTGACTTGTAACTTTTGAAAAAACAAAACTCATTACTTACTTAAACTAATGACATCAGTTTATTTTATTGTTCCATCCTTGTTTTTTCATATCTATTTATTTATTTATTTATTTCTGGAAGTTTGTCTCAAAAAGGATACAAAGTCAACATAATTTGTTAATGCTAGCCATTCTATAAAATAAATCCGAATTCCAAACATAAACAAGTCATTTGAGTTCAACTATATTCCAATTTAGGAAGTACAGGCCGATATAAGATTTGGAGAACAGCTAAACATCAATGCTGAATGCAGAATGCTGAATGCTGAATACTTGTCCTTCTTCCCGATACCCCCCATGTTCACCAATAATAAATTATTATTTTCATTGTATTAAAGCTAACCTTACGAGGAAAAGAAGCAAAAAGCACTTCCTCTTTGCTTTGCACAGGAAACATTATCCAACCCACCTGTCTTTCTTTGTGGCCTTGAGAGTGAAAATCCCAAGCACAAAAAAAAAAAAGGGGGAACCCATCACCCTCTTAAGCTTCTTTGCACATAGAAAGGCCTCCAATACACACATACACCTAAAGCATAACGAGATGGATGTTCATGATGATTTTGATGGCGCAGGAGAAGGTGCTGTCTCCACTTCCGGTAATGAAGATTTTGATGATTTTGCTCTGGAGGACTTCCCCGACTTGGGAGAAGTTGCCGACGATGACTTCACCTTTTTCTTTTTAGGTTTCTTGGGAGCTTTTGGGATGTCTGAAGGTGCGGTGTCGTTCAACGCCTCTGAGGCTGCTTGGGATTGCATCGTTTGCTCAAAATCTGTCATTTCATTGTAACAAACAAATCATTAAATCGACTTAAACGCTACCTATAAATGAGATCGGCTTCCATACCCACACCGTTCCAACCGCCTTTTACGACCTTATATAAATAAAGCATATGAGCAAGAAGATATTCTCAATACAACGTTATAAAAGCTGTTTGAATGGACTTTGCCCTGACCAAAGCCAAATTCCCTATTATACATGTGCCCGTTTGGAGAGACTTTTACACAGGCTTCTGGCATTGTATGAATAGGAGTGCAAATTGGGCAGGCTGGGCCAGATTTATTATCAATTCATGCCCAATCCTAAGATTTAGGCGTAAGACTCTAACCCAGATCAAGCCTGAGGTCAATAATTTGATGCATTTGAGTTGGGCTCAGGTTCAGGCCAGGCTTAGGTTGGTCAATAAATTTACTCTAAAATTATATATGTATCTATGTGTATAATTGGGCCAAGTTAAGATTGGGTTTGGGTTACCTAAAAGATAGGCCTGAGCCCAACCCAAAAAATAAAAAAGCCCAAACCCGAACCCAGCCCAAGGATAAAAAATCTAAACCTAACCTGTGTAAAATTTCAGTTGGATTGGTGGAGGGTCCGCCCAAATTATACCCCTATGTATGAACCAGACAATAGAAGAAGTCATAAAACCCTGTTTGATGAAAATCAAAAACTAAAAATAGGCTTATACAAATCCAAAAATCAACTTTCCACGCAGCTCAATCACCGTAAAAGCCCTCTCAAACAGAATCTATACTCGTTTAGAACCCTGCGGATCTGTTTTTCAATTATAGAGGCCCAATTAGGCCTGTATTAACAAATGGGCCTAATATCATCAAGTGGGTAAGGCGTAGGTCCAATGGGGCTGGGCCAATACTAATTTGGATAAGGAAGATGAGTGGTTATGCCTCAAGAGTCAAGACTGTTGAGGTCTGGTATGATAGAGAAAACACAGACATACAAAACATGTAAATAGACAGGCAGCGAAGGAGATTCCAAACACGAAATATCATCATCACCATATGAAGCTTATCATTGAACTGGACCACCAAATTATTAATGGAATGACCGAACGACCACAGGAAGGGAATGATGGGATCAACTTTAGATTCATCAGCACTGCGGAATATGGATCCCAATGGTGTTTTTATTGTCCAGAAGTCACCGTGTGATTCTGAATCGACGGTCACTGGATCTCCCTATCTTCGGATGGACCAATAGTGGGCCCGCCCGACCCGGTAAGGGAACTATCGTCCAGGTCCAGGAAGCCCGTGATCAAACAGAATCATTCCCTTCTAGAAGGGTGAATTAATTCTGCTCTGCAGCTCCATTCTCCTTTATTAAGAAGGATAGGGTGTCAATTTGCCAATCCAAAGATTCCCCTATTTTTGTAAGTCTCAAACAAACTCAATAGGTGGTGGGTAGCAAAAAAGCGTGTCCCGTGAGACAACAACCCAAACGGTCCCTACCTCTTCACAGTTCACACTGTGGAAGGCTGGAAGTAAAGCATCTTGTGCATTTTCTAATTGACTAAACTAACCCTCAAAAGGAGGAGACCGGATATGCTCCTCACACCTGGCGCTTCACAGGCACCCTACACGCACATCCTATAATTGTACTTATTAGTTATTATTCACGGGAGATATTCCCAATGCACGATGGATGTGTAGAATAAGGTGACATCTGGCCTGATGAGAGGGAAACATGAAATGAAACCTACCTTGAGAAGACCAAGGTGAAACAGCACTAGGATTGGAATCCCTTTGTTCATGAGCAATGTTGTTTACGGACGCTGATGAGTAATCCTGTGAAGTCTTGAATTCGTTCATCTACAATGCCAGAAACAGAGAAGAAATGTCAAATAAAATTGAGAGAGAGAGAGTGGATCCATCATCTATCATCTACCAAGCTTTGTGTGTGTGTGATATGTAAGAAAGAAGCAAGAAATTAAAGATGTTACGTACCCAACTGGGTGCAGCAGAATTCTGGTCATCCCACCCAATGTGAGCCACATGCTTAACATCTGTTGGGTGCCCAATCTCCATCTCGCGTTCCTTCACTTCCTTGACACCTGCAGAGACAAACCAGCCCATTTCTCATCTTTTGCTCATAGTAGATGAAAATGTATGAAAAGAGAAGAGAAATGGATCAACAGAGAGGAATTACCAAAGATTTGGGAAATGAACTTGAACCCTTTATAGATCCCCTTCATCTTTGTTATAGACCAAATCCCACAGACCCTTCAAGATTTGAATCAACGAAGAAAAGAGGAAAAAAAAAAAAAAACACAAACAATACAGAGACAGACCTGGTTATATGGATTTGAATTCGTGAAAAATTTCCATATAGCTCAAGAAAATTAAGCAAAGGTGTTGAGCATTAACTAGAGTGCAGCAGGAGAAGCCAGGCGATTGGTATGTATTAAATCCATGATCTCGGAAAACATAAACAGGTTAATAATAATAATAATAATAGGGTGCATTGCCGTTGATGAAAAAAAAAAAAAAACAAATAAACAAATTACGTGTCGATGACACTCTTGGGTTTAGGATCTCCGTGGCATTTAATACGATTCAGAAGAAGAAAGAACATTAATGTTACCTTTCGACGAAGAAAAGTTGATTAGTTTGTTTGGTATCGTAAGGTTTGAGATTCAGATGTTAGCTCCTCTGCCTCTTCCTCCTCCTCTCGTCAACAAACTCCATTGTCATTCATCTTTGATACTTTGTGGTTGAAGCCCGAAGGAGACAATTAACATGTGAAATTAAACCTGGGTCGTCTGTTTGGCGGGTCTAGATTTAGAGCATTAGAGAGCAGAGACCCAGGCCAAACACACACAGGCAGAGAGGGAAAATAGAGTTTGGGGCCTGGTATAGATCAGAAATTAAAGCTAAAACTAAAAGGCTTCATGCATTAATGGGGGCGTAAGGAGGTTGGGAAGAGAAGCAGAAGGAAGAGGTCTGGGAGGATATCGTGAAACCTCCCAAACAGAGGATAAGAGAAGTCAAGGATTTTAAAGGAGATAGAGAGAGAGAGAGAGAAGGGGTACAACAAGAAGACGGGCCAATTAAAAAATGTCATCTCCCTGTTTCGTTGGGGATACGTTTGTGGTGTTGCCGTTAAACCGAGTAAATCGCGCTACCTCTCTCTCTCGTTGCACACACACACTGATACAGACAATAATATTATAAATATATATAGATATAAATAGAGAAAGTTGTTTGAATGCGAGGCCTTGCCCTGTTCTGACTGAAGGGCAATTTGGTTAGAAAAAATATAACTGGGTTTGTTTGTCATTGACACTAAATGACAGATATATCCTCTCAATGTCCAAGCCAAGGAGGTATCTCCGTCTCTCCTTTGAAAAGGAAAAATAGAAACCTCGTAAATTGAAGAAACTTGGCAGACAAATGTGGAATCATGATTTTGTTGGTATGATGATGTTAACCGTGGACATGAAATCCTCTCGTCTCCTGAGGACTCGCGAACCCAAATATGGAATCATGATGATGAGATGTCGATGTGTTTGCTCGGCTCGGCTCGGTTTGCACCAAGAGCTAACCCGAGTCCCAATTCATAAAACTGGTTCGAGGTCGGGTTTATTGATTTTTCACCCAACCTGAGTCGTGACTCGTGACTCGTGACTCGTGACTCATCTCTCTGCAGGGTGAATGGGTGATGGCACGAGAGAAGTGGGTCGGCCGGTCGGGGACTGGAGCAGATGAGAAATTCCAAAGACAGTGAGAATCTCGAGAAACGAGGGATTTTGATTTTTGAGAGGAATTGAATTCCAAAGCCATCAGGCGTCAGCGCTTTGAACTTGAGATGTTTGATTACAGTTCAGGGCTGGTCTGGGTAGATCATGTAATGTAATGAATAGACATTCATAGTTATTGATTGCTTACAAGTTACGAGCGTTCCCTTTGATTCGTATTTTTATAATGTTCTTCAGGTTCACTGTGCATCAGAAAATTATATACCGGGCCATCTTCTCCCAATTAAAGCCGTTAGATTGGTGGATTTAGACTATCATTTGATGCTTTTTTTTTTTTAAAGCAAAATAATAATAATTAAACAGAGCGGACATGAGACCTATTACGTTCTAGAGGATGGATGATCTATGAACATTTTAAGTTTTCAATCGACAAAACAACAGAGATTCAGGATTCCTTTAAATCACTAATCATTCATTCTACCCAGATGCTTAAATAATTTTAAATCTTAGACATAGGTTTATTCCTCTGTGTGCCTCTGGTTTTCCATTTATGAATGATGAATCCACCTCATGTTCTCTGTTTTAGCTTCAAGCAATATATAATATAATTCTACAAAATACAAATGCTGGTGTTATCTTGTATTTATATTATTATATATGATGAATGGCGTTGTTTCTTCCTTGGCAAATCGATCCCACCAACTTCCAACAAAGTTTCTAGCAGCTTATGCAACTTGTTCTTCGGAAACATTAAATTATGTGAAGCCGTGGTTGATGGTTGGTGGGCAGTGGCAGATGAGAGATGACTTGACGGTGGTTGTTGCCTAGCTTAAGCCTAACACAATCCCCTTTTTTACTTCGCTACTGATGTGAACCTCAACATATCTTAGTGTCACCGTTTCCTGATCCGGAAATTTGAAAAACCAAAAAAAAAAAAGAAAAAATAGATTGACTGGTTACGTTGGACAGGGTGTGCATTATTCTGCATTCTATAGGGATCTCCCTGTGTGACATTAATCCATACAAATTCCATGCAAACGGAGAGAGGCTGTCGGACACAGCACAGCTTCACCAAGACGCAACCCTTTGAGTTTCCGGGCTTACTATGGGAAAAATATCGAAATTTAGGTGATTTGTTGCATAGTTGGAAGACAGGTTTTGGATCGTGCAAGCTGTTTGATTAAGCACAACAGTTATATATATATATATATTTATATATATAATAAAAATGGATTTTAAATAATGAAGATGACCCTACGTGGGTTGACACCATTATCATATACAATGCCTGCAATAATAAAGAAATTGGAGCTAGTTAAGGCGTGATATTGAAACTGACAGAGTAGTAGAGATATAAATATAGAAACTGCCACGGAGAGGGGGGAGATCAAGTCAATCATGTGATTCTATACCAATTATTATCTTGAATAAGCTTTTGGATGCAATAGCTGTGATGCAAGTTTTCAGGTTTTGTGTTTTTGGGCTTAAAAGAGTTTTTGTCTTTAGATTATTACTTTTTTTAAAAAAAAAAATTCTTATCAAAGTATTGGTATCAAGTATCATATTGGATAAGTCAAATATGAATGCAAATACGTTTTGGAAATGCATTGGTATGAATGAAAGATATAGAAACACTTGGAGACGTTAGGGAAATGCATATAAATCATATAAGGTAGATAAAATAAATTATTTATAATTTTTAAGTTTTTATTAATTTTTTTTTTTGGAAATTAAATCTTAAATTATTCATTTAAGGTTTTTATAATTATAACTTTCTATATTCCATTAATTTTGTTGGGAAAATTTATTTATTTAGTACTTTTTGTATAATAGCTCTATTTTTTCAAACGATAATTATGTTTTCATTATTAACATATAATTATGTGTAAAATAAAATATATAAATCATTTAAGATAGATGAAATATATTATTTTTATAAATTTTAGTTTTTATTATTTTTTTTGGAAAATTAAATCAAAAGTTATTTATTTAGTTTTTATAATTATATATTTTAATTTTTTATTAAAGATGATAAACAATCCAAAAGCAGTAAATATATAGTTTTGTCAAACTAGGCATAGATAGCTTTCATATTTGTGTGTATCAGATCATATCCACCGATACAATGTGATATGGCCCGATACAGAGGCATATCATGCCAATATACACGAATTGTGGGATACGTACCCAGTCATAGCGTAATATATCCCGTATCCATAACCATGAATACAGATACGATATGCCCCGTATCAGAGTATCACATCAATACCTTAAACCTTATCAAAGGCTAAAAAGAATTTTGGTTCATTTTTTGTATCCAGCAGCCTAAATCATAAAAGAGAAAACTTATCCAAACAAAGCCTTAATTTTCTCCCATGAAGGCAAGAAGTGTACCCACAATTACTCTTATATTGGTTTCTTGGTACATCTTGTAATTTAATTTTAGTAGTTTCATTTTGTAAAATCATAATATATCTACACACATCGCAAAGAAAGCTTTTCCTATAAACTGTTGGCCTGTTGATGATTTTAATTCTAAGATTTCATGTATGGGCATGATAAAATAGATACTTTAGACTGAACGTTTTGTTTATTTTGGATGTAGAATATATAAACTAACATTTATAATTAAGAAGAATGATATCAATATGTGGTATTTCATTTTATTCGATCTGTTCCTAAAAAGCTTAGGCACTTAGGATTTTATATGCCCTGCTATAAAAAACAAAAACATCAATATGTGATGTGTGTGTTTTGTTTCCAAAACTGAAATACAAAAATGTGTTATTGAATTTTTGGCTTAAAGAACATATTTTCATTTGATTGTTTAATATAATGTTCCATAAATTATATATATATATATATATATATATATATATATATATAATTTTCACAGAAAATTTGTTTTTGTTTTAAAAATCACTATTTTGATGGTTTCAAAAATATGTATGGTTTTTTTAAAACAAAACCAACTTATTTTTGACTTTTGAAAAAATGCATAGTGTTCATGAAAGTGTTTTTGTTTTCTTTATTATGTGGCAATTTAAAAAAAAAAAACAAAAACATTCATGATTTGTAGAACATCCCCTGATATGGCCTGTGCAATATTTTCCTAACCAATAACTAGTAAGTAGCAACAAAGGTGAAAGCTAAAGTTGTCATTAGAATAAATAAGAAAAATTTATTGTTTAGATAAATAAGGAAGGTAAAGAGGACAAAATTGTAATTTTCTAGATATTATTATTTAATGGGAAATTGTCAAAAACTCACCATGAGTTTTCAACATTTCTCTTAAATTCACCACAACTTTTTAAAACATCTAAAACTCACCATGTCACTAACTTGGCGTTAAAGAGACTAACGGCTGTTAATATATTACCATTTTAACCATCATAGAAAAATATAAAATATATACATGTATAAAATACATACATATATTTTAATATTTAGAGATGAAAAAAGGAAAAGTTCAAAAAATATTTTTAAATATATAAACACAGAAATTACAAAAAATATAAAAAATTAGAGAAATTGCACACAAAAAAATTATTTTCAAATTATAGAAACTATAGAAATTGAAAAACAAAATCAGAAAATGAAAATTGTAGAAAAAACACAAAAAATTATAGAAAAAACACATAAATTGCAAATAAAAAACAAAAAATAAAGGAAATTTTATACATGGTAGAAAATAGAAAAATGTAAAAAACAGAAATTATAACAAAACAATAAAAATATAAAAAAAAAAGAAAATTGAAAAACGAAAAAGACCCTTTTCCTCTAACTCATCATTCAAGGGTGATTTGGTCATAAAAATTATTATTTATGCTGACATGGACACCTCTGTTAAGAAACATTAACAGTGCACACTAACGGAAGGTGAGTTTTAAAAAATAAAAACTTATTGACATGGTGAGTTTTAGACGTTTTGAAAAGTTGTGGTGAGTTTAAGAGAAATGCTGAAAACTCATGGTGAGTTCTAGACAATTTCCATTATTTAATAATGTCGCAACCACCACCATCATCGTCATCATGAATTTTATGGGATTGTGGTATATATACAAGTCCTAACCCATAAACCCTATTATGAGTTAAACCTTCTACGTCGATTATCCCAACCCAAACCCATCATCTATTCCCATCCACGAGGAGTTCAAATTTCCGCCCCACAAGGGGCCACCCCACAACGTCCCACAGCACATTTCCACCATATATTGGGAACATTTCCCGATGATAGTACCATTCCCGATGATATCACCATCGGGAGATGTTCCCATTGTGGGGCAGCCCCTTGTTGGGCGGAGATGTGAACTCATCCACGAGCTGATTCTGATCACAATCATGCATTATGCCTCAACCAGAAAATGTGACGAGAAAACAGAAAAAGGGAGTGAGAGAGGTAGTAGAATATTTTGTTA